ACAGTTTTTTCTAAGCTTTCTTTGATTTAATTTGCTGTTTTTGTCTGATGCAAATGTCTTAATCTCTGTTTATCTTTATGTTAGTGTGTTTGACACAAACTGCTCTATGTCATTTATGTTCATACTCAAGATATTGCCCTAATAACGCTGTGAAATTCTCATTTGCATACACAAATCATGTTTTATTTACGCACTAGGGTTTCTGTACATGGGAACCTTCATGCATAAATGGCTGACTGCAACTCAGTATATTGCTCCATTGATGGGAAATTTCAATCCCAGTTTGAATGATTCGTCTTACATCAGATACCTAGATACAGGTGAGTGTATGCATGAGATTACCCCTCAGAACACCTAAGACAACTTTGACCTTTCACAAAGTAAACCTGCTTAAGTTTAGGAAATTATTTTCATTTAGTCATAAAAATGATAATGAAAAAAATTATAGAAAAAATTTACAAAATGTATCGCCAAAACTGTGTATATTTTTGGTCAAAAATGAGACCTAAAAATGATGTGACAAAACACTATGGCAGGGAAATGATGGCATTCTTCTGTTTGGGGGGGGGGGCATATATTTTACACCTCAGTGGCACTGAATGTATTACAGTATAAAGTCATTTATATATTGTCTATAACGATGGACAATCATAGTTCAAACTGCAGATGAGACTTGTGTAATAATACAAATTTTCCCAAATATCGCAATTAAGTCAGGGAAATTAACTAGAAGTCAAAATTTCACTTGGTATATAATTGTTTTTTTATATTGTTTATCAGGTATGTATTCATATTCAATCATTTATATAATAAAATGTTCATATTTTTTGTAGGGTCTTCATTTACCTGTGAGTGGAGCCAGCTTCATCTTGATGACCAAGTCGAAGGTAATGAATGATAAATATGTCACTGAATAGTTTACATTTTGTCACAATATTCTATAAATCATATAATGTGGCTTAAATTACCCAGACATTTGCAAATGTCTACAAACTTGATTTGATTTTTTTTTTTTTTATTTAATATGGTCATGCAAATTGTGGATTTATCTTTTTTCATTTTAATAGTTATTTTCAAAAAATCTGAAAAAAAGGCTGTTATACAGTTTAACTGATGTCTATAAGGTGACCTGAATGCTGAATATTTTTGGGTTTAACCTAATGTGTAAATTATTAAATCATCATAGCGATAAATTAGATGCTTAAAGCAATAAATTGTATGCCTCACTTAAGCTATATTTCTGATAAAATACTTTAATATTGCCGAAAAGTGATTTTTTTTTTCAAAATTCAAAGAAATTTTTTAGCAGTGAATATTTCAAAATTTCATATAGATTTTGTTCTTACCAGTGCCCTTAAATTATCAATCACAAAAATTACCACAAGTACAATACAGTGTTTATCCAATATTATCGACATTATAACTAATCAAACAGTTTAGTTGTTATGACGTTATTTTTCATGACTACTATTATAATCAGTTATCATACCAATCTAATTCCATCCATAAATTCCACATTTATCCATAAACTCCTGATTCTATAATTCCCAGAAAAAGAATGAAGACTGCGGAAAGTGTAAAATGAATATATGATTTATTAGTCCCCGTTTGGACGCAGTTCGAAAACGAGGACTTATGTTTTGACATCCGTGTGTGCGTGTGTCCGTGCATGCGTCCGGACCTGTATCTTAGAAATGCCTGGACCAATCACAATCAAACTTCACACATACATCATACGTGATATTATACATATACACGTCAATTTGTTTCCATATGTTTGACTTGCTTTCACTGATTATGTTCAAATTTTAAATATTCATTATACATCATGTCATAGATAGACAGATATATTGGTTTGACGATCTTATTCAAAATGGCCGAATGGTGGCCATTTTTGGGCTAAAAAATCATTAAACATCAAGCGTTTCTGGCATTTATGGATGGATTTCGTTCAAATTTGGTACATACATTAGACATTACGGGTTCCTGATGCACATCATTTTATTTTGCAGATCAGATTCAAAATGGCTGTCTGGCGGCCATTTTGTTTTAATGAATGGGTTTTCAGACACATATGTCTGACTTGTTTTGACTGATTATGTTCAAATTTTTAATATTCATTATACATCATGTCATAGATATACGGATATATTGGTTTGACAATCCTTTTCAAAGTGGCCAAATGGTGGCTATTTTTGTGCTAAAAAAATTCCCAAATATCAAGCATTTCTGGCATTTATGGATGGATTTTGTTCAAACTTATAACATACATTAGACATTACAGGTTCCTGATGCACGTCATTTTATTTTTCAGATTGGATTAAAAATGGCTGACTGGCGGCCATTTTGTTTTAATGATTGGGCTTCTAGAGCCACATCTCTTAAATGCTTTGACTGATTATATTCGTTATACATCATTTTATAAATATATATACATGTATTCAAAATGACTGATTTTGAATGCTGTTCCAATGCAATATCTCTCAATATGGACAAGTACTTGTTTGACGATCAGATACAAATGTCAATCATTTTAATATTAACAAATCATATTCCATATAACTAACGGGGACTGTGTCATGCATGGCTTGTTTAAATTTATTTCACTTTTAAATACTCGTAACTCTTTTGATTTCCTGTCTTCATCTATTAAAGTATAATATATTCTATGGTTTAATCATTTTTTTTTTTTTTGTGAACTTTTTGTTGTGTATAAAGCCAACAGCCTACAACAGTAATCAAACATGAATTAATAATTATGAACTGAAATTTTTTAGCTGCAGATGGCAAAGATCTGTTCATAATATTGTGAAGTCTGCTTGTCTTTTAGATGTGTACATAGTAATTAGTTTATTAGCATATTAACTATTGTTTGAATATTCTCTTATCATCTTGGGATTCACCGTTTGCCAGTCTAAAGGATATATGTTACATTTGAGCAGAAAAAGAATACAACTTGTTGCCATCAGATAAAAATCTTTCTTAGTTGTAAATCTTGACCAGCAGTTTGAAAGCTTCTGCCATGTATCAAATTAACTGAGCTCAAAATATATTGCATCTCTGTTTTGTAGTTACATATCATTTTGCACCCGGAATGCACAATAGCTCAATCATCCTAATACTTGTATTATTGTAACTTTAATTAAAATCATTTACATTTTTAGTTGGCAGTTTCACGTTTCAAGCAACATTAAAGAAAGATGGTGTCATCATCTTCGCATACAAAAATGTAAGTTTCTTACGCTTGTCTATCATAATCTTTCATCTTTAGATCATTATTAAAATAAATTAGTATGATGTATACACTGAGTAAATCGTGTGTGAGAAAATATGATCAAATTGTACATGTGTTGTTTGTCCAAGCTAATGTATCAGGGGAAAGTAAAGTCCCCAATTGTGTACAGTATAGTCAGCCACTCAAACAAATCTTTTGCAATAATAAATTTATCATCCAAATATTGAAAAAAATACATTTTGCATTGTGATACATACAATAATGTACATTTTATTATTTTCAGGTTCCCATTTCACTTTCACTAGTAGGGACTACCCAGCACCCCGTCAAAGTTGGTTTAGCTGATGCTTTCTATGTCGATGAGAAGATATATGGAAGTAAGTTTTCAACCTTTATATGTTTGGTACCAAGCATAAATATGTATATCAATAAAAGAAGATTTTATTTAAATATAATGCATCAAATTATGGAAGTATTTGAGGCTTTTCCTTTGTTTTAAATTACTGCAAGCTGCAATAAATCAGAACAAATGCAACTCTTTTTGAATCTGAACATGTCAAAATTCTTAAGTGTTGGCAAGGAAACATGCTAGTCATATTGAATAAATAGAGATCAGACGTAATTGAAATCACTGTATCCTTGTTGGTGGACATTTGGGTATTTTCACTGCCTGGCAGCCATCACAGTGAAAACAAAGGAAGAAAACTCCCAGAAATCTGTACTTTGGGATAGTTGTTGAGACTCTCCTGAACAATGTAAAAATATTACCCCTGTATGTGCATTTATACATTCGGTTGCTCAGGCTTACTTCAAGGTTGAGTTTGTGCTCTTTTTTCGACATTGGCCTTTTTTACTGGATCTTTGATCGGCATTTCACAACAGCTCGCGCAGAGCCCATAGAAATGCCCCGAGGTTAGTCCCAAATCTCAAATAAAGTTTAATGAATAATGCCAGAGTTCAACTTTAAGTACAGTTTAAATTTGAATTGTGTACCAGAATTTCCACTATATTCAAAGTATGAATCTTTTTGCCTATGAATTGTGTTGAAACTATAAAGATTAACTGTTGGGGTATCTCACCAAATTTAAGCTGCTTGATTAGATATTAACTATCCACTTTCTATCCAGACTATTACAGACGTACAATTTATGAATACCATGATGTTCCTCTTAACAAGACGTATATCAAAACTGATGTTGCTTTCATTATTGAACCATTACCAAGTAAGTCCATTAGTATCTTGCAGCCTTAATAAGTATGTGCAACCAATTACTCATTCTCTGTACTTTTGTGCAATATCGGCTATCAGATGTCTGGCATATAGACCTACATGGAAGTAGAAAATAACTGTGCTGTATAGATTATAACCTCCACACCATGGTATTGTATGTCACTAGTAACTCAACAGTCACCAGGTTATTACAAGAATAACTTTATTCCCGGGGGCGGACATCCATCATGGTAAAAACAAAGGCTGATAACTTTTGAAAAATGTACTTTGGGATAGTTGTTGAGACTCCCCTGAACAGTGTAACAAGATTACCCCTACATGTGTAGCATATATTTAAATTAGGTTGCTCAGGATTACTTCAAAGTTGAGTTTGTGCTGTTTCCTAGCTGTTTTCACTGGCATTCCACAGCAGTTTGCTCAAAGCCCATAGAAATACATGGTAGAGAGGTGCGCGTCTTAGCAGCATAAACGTTTTGTGACGTAGCTCCACCCCAAATATAGCTAGAATTGATATTTTCCAAAAACATTTGGTCATTTGTATGTATTGCAATATCACTTTAGTGCTGATTGGTTAGGTCATTGTTATATCATGGTGTTCTGCTGTGCTATGGCCTAGAAGTTCAGTGTTTTACTGTGGCCATGGATATGTTTCATCCACCTAGGCAGCAATATAAACAGCTAATTGCTGTGTTGCAAGCAATGTTGTTTTTGAGAATCGAGTAGATAGTTATCAACCTTGGAGACATCAACAACACAGTTATATTGTCAGTCAATTAGGTGTCGATATCACTAGCTAGGTGTACAAAGCAAATTAACACCTTCAGTAACATCCATATTTTTCCTCAGCTTGTAATCAGTTGGACACATGTGATGGGTGTATCAACTCTGACATAGACTTCCAGTGTGGTTGGTGTCATTCAGTGAAAAGATGCTCTGATGGATTTGATCGTCATCGACAAGACTGGTTAGCAGGTGGCTGTGATGAAAAGGTACGATAATCTTCTCCAATCTATAATTTATATTAGTCAGTGAAATTGTGAAGTCCGCGTATGTGTGGTTACCTCGTACTAACTGCATTTTCGCAATAATGTAACAAATGTAGGCCACACTTCTTTAAATACATGTATGTACCAAGTCTGGGTTAACAATGTATCATCTGCGGGTCACCCAAACAGTAGTAAATACCGGCTGCACTTCTCCAGTACCATTGTTTAGTTGGCAGACGCTCACAAGTCGGCAGTCAAAACTAACAAGTGTGACAGAAATTAATTATTAATTGGAGCTCTAAGAGACTTTAACAACAATTTACTTATTATTTTATTGAAACAAACATTCCTGTTTCGTTCTGTATTTTACTTGTATAGTGTTAACTTAAAAGATAAGTCCAGGTAAACAACATAATGATCAATCCAACCAGCAAATCGAGAAGCCATTTTCCAAACTTACCCCCGGTAATACAAGTACATGTACTTCGTCAACATATTATATTCGTCAGCCATATTATACATATTTATTTAGACTTTTGTTTGTTTGTTTGTTTATTTATTTACTTACTTCTGTAACTATTTTTACTTTGTATAATATGGGAAATAAAACAACAACAACAACACTACTCGAAACGATAAATATGATATATAGTAGTTAATTAATATTTGGTAATCATATTTGGTAATTATTAAAAATAGCTAAACGTTTCGTTCGATTACCACACAATTAACAATCACATTGTTATATGTTTAGGTAAATTTACATTTACGATGAGAATATTCCTCCATTTTATTACTGAATATAGTCGGTTTGAACTGCAGCATATTACACCAGAATAACCTGTGGAAAAAATTAGTCATTGCCATGCATTGTTATGTCAAACGATCTGTTACATGAACATTACTATTAACAGGCGTAAAACTATTAAGCTGACAAAAGATTCACCACTATCTTGATTTCGCTGGAACCATCAATGTTTATGTTATTAAAAGAGTTCAAGTTGAGGGCATATATTATATTGATTT